ATCTAACACGAGATGAGATTTCCAAAACTCTCACCAAAGATTCATGGAGAAACCGGACTGCCGTGAAGTGGAAGGGCTTCAGTTTGAAAGGGAGGCAGCAGAGAGGAAGGATTTGAATGGAGAAAGGGCTTCCAAGGAGAGTTATGTCGGCATCCATCAAGGAATTTTGATGTTCAAGGAGGGCAAATGCTGAGATGACCAAGTTGGCCACAGAATTATTCCAAGTGGTCAGAGTGGAAGCTGACTGCAGCAGGACTCACTGTTCTGAGTGACTGGAGGCTAAAACAGATGCAGAAGGTTAAAGAGCAGATGCAGCTCATTATTGATAAAGAAAAATAATGGATACAGGGAGAAGCAACTCCAGCTGTTCACTTGCCATAATAGGCTCTAATTTAGCTATTACCACATAAGAACTTGGAGTAACTGTGGATAGTCCTTCAAAAACATCAGCCTGAGGCTCTGTGGAGGTCAAAAAGGCAATGAGACCATCATGAATTATTAGGACAGGAATAGGTAGCAAAGCAAATGTGTTGTGCCAGGGCAATAATCATGTGAGTCCATGCGCTGTGTGTGATTCCTGTCCACTCCATCTGAGAAAGGAGTGGCAATTCTAGAAAAGGAGGGAAGTAGAGTAGGAAGGATGAACAGGGACATGGAACAGCTTCTGGCAGAGCAGGGAATAACAGAGCAAGGCTCTGAGGCTTGTAAAAGTGATGTCTGATGGGGATGTGACAGAGATTTCTGAATTCCTGAGCAGCACGGAGAGGAGTCAAGAGCTGTCCTTGTGTCTCTGCTGCTCCAAAGACATGAAGGAGGGATGTCTGAGGGCCTTATCAGGCAGCAGATTTAAAACAAAGAGAAGGAAGGGTTTTTTCATCCATCAGATAATTAAACTATGGAAGTCACCGACCAGGATGTTGTGGGTATTTATCCTAAGGGATAAATGGATTCAAAAAGCAATTAGGGAACTTCCTGGATGGAGATCTCTCCGAGGCTATTAACCGCTGTGATGTAAATACAACTCTGTAAATACTTGTGCTGTTTCTCATTCTCTTTCCCTGAGCACTTGCTGCAGATGAGAGTCAGAGACAGGAGTCTGGGCCACACGGGGCTTTGACCAGATGCATTTTAACTGTTTGTGCCACCACAGTTACTAATGGGCCCTGCTGACATCATGGATGGATTTGGGTGGTCTTCTCTCATTTTTCATCATAAGGATGGAGGGACAAAGTACCTGAAGGCTCTCACCTGAGATCTCAAAGGGTTTGTATGAAAGAAGTCCAGGTGCCCCGTGTTACCTGGTTCATTTTTGGTACCTGCACGCTAAAATGGCCACAGCCTCCTTCCTCCCACCTTTCTCCAAAGACAGCTTGAAATAACTGAAGAATCCTGTGTTTGCCTTTGCTTCCAGCAGCCAGGGCAGCTCTGCTGGCCAGTGCTATGATTCACATGCTGATTGTCTCCAATTTACACAGAGCTTACCAACATGAAAATGAAACCAGCAACGACTTGCAGGGATTGTGTATCCATCTAATGAGGATCAGATGAGTTGTTCTCCCTCCCCTGGAGCTTCTCCCACCTCAGAAGATTTATGTGGCTGAACATGTTTGTTCTGATCAATCCTGTGTTGCAGACACGAATACAAATATAAAAGGGAGAAGATTACACTTTTGATCCAAAGCCCACTAAAGTCAGCAGACAGGCTCCTGATGCTCACAAAAACGAGGGGGAGAAAGATGAAACTTTTGGTTGTGCTCCAGTGAACAAAGAACCTTGTTAGTCAGTGACAGATTTTATACAACCCAGAGCTATTTGTCAGTGAATACATCATTGCTCTCACCTCTCCTAATAGGAGGATTAACATGTTTAAGGCACGAATTCAGCACCAGATCTGATTTGTCGTGGTTGCTTTTCACTCCTCTCCTAGATGAAAACATGCAACAGAAGCAAAGATGCTATTTTTAGTTGTTTGGGTCTTTTTCTATCCAGAAACTTGGCACTTAGACTGAAAAGCAGGAGCTTTCAGGTATCTGCTGCGTGTTGGTGACCAGAAGTATTTCACCACCAGGATACAGGAGCCTGAAAGCAGCATTTAATAATTCTTCGATCCTCAGAGTCGTTAACCTGAGCGTTCATTAAATTAGTGTCACTGGAAGCATCACAGAGATGAGATAATTGTCCCAGTACTCCAAAACTTGCTCCTCCCACACCCTCTCCTACACAGGGATGGAAAACCTTGGGCTGGCATTTCTGAGAGCTTAAGGTGGATACAGGGATATTCAGAAGTGTCCAAGAACTGAGTTTATTTTCTCCATCTTTAGTCCTGTAAAAACCAGGTTACTGATTCATCCGGGTTCCTGCTATAATTATGTGAGCGACATTATCACACGGAGGGGATGATTTAGCCCACACTGTGATAAAATCATCACATTAAATAGCTGAAGTTGAGAGAAATGGCATATTAGAAGTAGCACCCATGAAGCAGAGCAGCTCAGCCCACATGGGAAGGGATCTGAAGCAGGATTTGGGTCTCGGAGCTTGGGGATTAGGGAAATGGATTTGCAGCTGCTGCCTGGGTTGTCACAGCATTGCCGAACTCCCTCCCTACCCAGGTTTTAAATCGTGATCCCCCTTTCCCCACCAACCAAATGGACATGGTTAAAGAGGCAAAGAGAGAAGAGCAGACCTGATTTGAAAGGAAAACTGCATGAGGTATCACTTAAATAGGGATTCCTGGCTCTGCTGTTGCCTCATGCAAATCACATCCCGTTTGTTCCGTGGATTTCTCAGCTCCGAAACGCAATAAGACGTTTCCCCCAAGGACAGTCATGAGGCATCAGGAATGAACTGGTGTTTAAAAGATCCTTTGCAAGTGTGAACAGCCCCTAAACTGGACACTGAAAATGATCTGCCCCATAGTGGGCAGGGGCTCCACCAGTGCTAAAAACCTCCTGCGATGGGAAGAGCTGGAATAGGAGCAGGCAGGGCCGTGAGCTGCTGCGTCACCGCCTCGTGCTCTCCCCGCTCCATTTATCATCTTTGAGTGGGAGGCTCCGAGCACCTTCCTCTCACTACCAGGATAATACAGTTTGGCCTATTCCTGCCCTGAGGGAATCAGCAGCAAAATTCCCAGTAATTGAGCTGTGAGTGGATGCTCATTCATTCAAACAGGATGCCATCGCCGAGGATGATGATAACGCATGGGGCCCAAGGTCACTGCAAGGTCACTCGTGTCATTCACACGAATTCTTGGCTGAAATAGGATTGGGAAATGTCTTTAGGTGCTGAGACTGAACAGGGTTTATCAGCACCACCTGAGCTGCAGGCACCACTGCTATTACTACAATAACACCATTTCAGGGCCCATTTGTGTTTGGACTCAATGATCTTGAAGTTCTTTTCCAGGCTAAAGATTCTGTGGTCCTCGTGGGCACCTTCCAGTTCAGACTGCTCTATGATTCTGTAAACATTCCCACTGTATTTATCTTAATTTCTCCCTCCTGTATGCATTTTGAACAAAAAAAAAAAAAACAGGGAAAAAAAGAATATTAATGACCTGGACTCTCCATCTAGAGGAGTAGGAATTCAGCCATAAACTTTAGTGAGTGCTGATGAGCTGCACAAGGGACCACAGTGCCTTCCTTGCTGGTTAATTAATGTGTGTTAGCTCAGGATGGCTGCTGGAGGAAGAGGTTTCATCCATTAATGACAGAGATGTTTCTCTCACTAGTGTGCAAACAGGGAAGGACAACATTTCCCAGTAAAGTTTGCTGTCTTGGGAAATGGGTTTGTATTGAATTTATTCACCATATGTGCTGGAGAAAAGGTGGAAAAAAGATGCAAACCCACCGTGGAAAGAAATTTATTTATGGCAGGGGCTGCACAGCACTGAAGATGTGCAAAGAAATATGGAATGGTTTGGGTTGGAAGGGACCTTAAAGATCATCTCATTCCAATCCCTTGCCATGGGCAGGGACACCTTCCACTATGCCAGGTTGCTCCAAGCCCCATCCAACCTGGCCTTGGACACTTCCAGGGATGGGGCAGCCACTGGTTGCCTCTGGGCAACCTGTACCAGGGCCTCACCACCATCACAGCCATGAATTCTTTCCTAATCTCCAACCCAAATCTACACTCCTTCAGTTTAAAACCATCCCCCCTTGTCCTGCCCCTCCATCCCTTGTCCCAAGTCCCTCTCCAGCTCTCCTGGAGCCCCTTTAGGCACTGGAAGAGGCTCCCAGGTCTCCCTGAGCCTTTTCTTCTCCAGGTGAACCCCCCCAGCTCTCCCACCCTTTCCTCAGAAAAGGCTGTATCTGCCTGAGTGGATTTTTTGCTGATTTCTTTTCTCCCTGGGGTTTTGTCCAGAGACTCTATAGCTAGATGAGCTCTTGGTGTTCCAGACAGAACAGCCATCAGGAGAATTTTCCTCCCTTTGAGGTGGCTGCAATCTGCAGTTGAAGCCTTGCCCACACTGCATGAGTGATGGTTGCCTTTCCAGCACCAGGCAAGCTTTCAGTGAAATCCCTCGGGCTTCAGGAAGGATTTCTCAGGATTGTTGCTCACCTCCTCTCCAATTTCTGGATGCCAGCCCCCAAAATTCACAGTGGCAGGTACCCAGCACCCACATGCACCAGTCTGGCAGAGAAGTCAAGGACTGAATGAGCAGTCACAACAAATGTCCCTTTTCACTCCTGGATGTTGTCTCATGCTGACAGGTTTCAGGGATCCTCCTGGGACCATGGAAGCATGTGGAAAAGCCTGGGAAGGACAGGGCAGTGCATTGAGCCAGAGCTTGGGACTGTTCTCCTCTTACCTTCTGTATCTATTTATTCTGCAGCATCTCGGGACTGAGCTGTGAAATTTTGAATCCAAATTTCCTTTTTCCTCCAACTCCTCACAAAACTGGGACAGAGTTTGATTTTCCCAGTCAGCCTGTGTGAAACAGCTGCTATGAGGGCCCTGAGGTTTGATCCAGCTGTAACATCCTCCTTCTGCCACAGGTGGACAGCGGGGGACCTCTGGTTTGCAGCTACTGGAACACCATGAAGTGGTTCCAGGTCGGAATCATCAGCGAGCAAAAGCCAAACCACAAGATTTTAACGTCTGTTTACAGCTACCTTGGCTGGATTGAGAATGAAACAGCCATAAGGGGTAAACCTTTCTTCATTGAAGGTGTGGACAACGGGGCACATCTCAGGGTCATTCGTTCCAGAGCTGGGGCACAGCTGGTGTTTCTTGAGCACTGTTTCCTTTTATTTATCTCTTTAGTAACAATTAGTTTTCTTGAGAGAAGATTTTTGAACACATAATAAAAGTCAGAACTTCCATCTCATTCTTTTTCCTCTGCTGTGCGAGGCCAACCTGCTCCACCTCACTGGTGTGGACACGGACACCAACATGAGGCATCACAACAACACAGGGGGTGGAGAAATGACATGGCAGAGGCAGGACTTGGACAAGAGGGGCCATAATCCTCCAAAAAACATGGGTTTTCCACGTCAGACCCAGTTATTTGCTAAGCTCGGATGCAAAGTGGAGATGTGACATCTGAAGGTGCTGATCCCCTTTGAAAGTTGAAACCTTAGGAAAGATCCTCACTTACTCAACTGCACATAAGTTTAGCTGGTGGTAGGATAGCTCTGGGGTAATTTATCTTAAGCTAATTATTAGCTGGACTAAAGTATCCTCTATCTTGCAGCTTGGCCAAGCTAAGAGCATCTTCAGAGACCTCAGGGACATGACTATCTGTCAAATTCAGCAGCTCCTTGACCCAGAAAAAGGGCAAGAAATCTTGGAAGATGCAGCATTGTATAACTAATCAGTCTTAATTATCTGGATGGGAAACGTTGGGGTTGGGTGTTAAAAATGATAGAGAAAAATATATCTGCCTGAAGAACAGCATTCCAGGGCCTAAAGGGTCTCCAGGAGAGATGGAGAAAGACTTGGGATAAGGGCCTGGAGGGACAGGACAAGGGGGAATGGCTTCCCACTGCCAGAGGGCAGGGTTAGATGGGAGATTGGGAAGGAATTCTTGGCTATGAGGCTAGTGAGGCCCTGGCACAGGTTGCCCAGAGAAGCTGTGGCTGCCCCATCCCTGGAAGTGTTCAAGGCCAGGCTGGACAGGGCTTGGAGCCACCTGGGCTAGTGGAAGGTGTCCCTGCCCATGGCAAGAGGTTGGAAAGAAATTGTATTTTAAGATCCCTTCCAACCCAAACCATTCCAGAATTCCATGATGACAGAACCGTTTTGGAGCTGTCCTGAAAATGCTGCCTTCAGACACCCCTTTGTTTTATAATAAGCCAAAACTAATCCCTTGCAAGTAAATGCTAAATCAAAAGAAAATAACATTTTTTTCTCTGTTAGAGGCCTTTTACCTGCACTTCTGAAAGCTCCACATCCCAGCCCTGAGCTGGGACTGACCTGGTCCTTCACTCCACGGATGGTCCTTCAGTGATCTCCAGCAGCAAAGGGCATTTTGCAAAATGTGCTCTGGTGTTCACAGGGAGGTTTTTGCTTTTCTTGGAAGTGATGGGGAAGGAAGCAAACAGCAAAGTCCCCTTCATGTCCCACTTTGTATAAAAACACCTGTAATTTGCAGCAATCAGAAAACTCAGTGAATGTGCAATGGGACAGAACCTCACAAATAGGTTTTAATTACCTTGATATTTTCTGGCTAGCTGGTGGAGAAGCCTTGTAAATGAGAATTAATTCATCTACCTTAAGCTAATGCAAACCCATCTTGGCATAAAAGTCAGGCTTTATTTTCTGTGTTATCTGAGCAGAAAATAATGCTTAATTATTATTAGTTCTGAGTAATGCTTATGAAAATTGCTCCACATTAATTTCACATGGCTGACTGGCTAATGGATGCATAAGGGTCTTGTAACCCTTTGCAAAATGACTAATAAGAGCTAAAAACAAGGGGAATATATTACTTTAACAGCTATTAGTAGTAGACAGTGTCTGCTGGCATTAATACCTATATTTATTTTCCTTTCTATTAATAATATATCAACAGATTCTAGAAGCTGTGGACATCAGGAAGTATTTCCTAATGCTGCAATCCCTTCAGCTACAGAATGTTCCCCCCAGGGGAAATGAGAGAAGTCCTCCTGCTTGAATTATTTTCATATAGGGGTTGTATAAAACACTTTTGCCTCCAGCACAAGGCAGGGAAAAATCCTGGACTTACAGGGACCTGCAAAAGGTCTTTTCCATCAGTAGCATTTGCAAATCGATCATGGTCTGTGTTGAATGAAGTCAGGGCACTGCTGTTATGGGGTTGGACCCATGCTGCTCCTTATTTACTCATTGGATTTGGGGAAATTTGTGCTTCTTGCCTCAGTTTCCCTACTTGGAGATCATGAAAGCGGTTCACTTTGCTAAATGGAAGCATCACTTCTGCAAATTAAGACCATCTATGAAGCTGCAAAGTAAAATAACAGGAAAGACTTTCTCCTCCTTATTTAAAACATCATAATAATCAGTAAAGTGAATTCATCTTTGCTGCTTCATCCACTGCTCAATAATGAGGGTGAGAAAGGAAATGTTTGTTTAACATTTCCAGGCTGCAAGTAGGGCTGATGAAAACATGTTGATGCAGTGTTTTGTTTCAAAGGTATTTGTGTTTTGAGAGAGCATCAGCTTTGATTGTGGATTTGATGGGAACGTGTTTTGAGTCACTCAAAATCAAAATGCAGCATGTCAGCTTCATCATCAGCAGGCCAATGTGACACATGAATTGTTTAAGCTTTGCAACACTGGTGTGTTATATTTATTGTGTGATTGTATTCTGCATTTATAGAACCACAGAATGGTTTGGGTTGGAAGGGACCTTTTAAAGCTCAGCTCATTCAAACCTCCCCTAAGTGGGCAAGGACATCAGGTTGCTCAAAGCCTGGCCTTGAATGTCCAAGGATGGGGCAACCACCACCTCTCTTGTGGGTTTAGAACATCTAAGTGAAAAGTTTCCAAACTGAAGAATCTCCATGTTTCTGCTTCAAGCTGCAGTTCGGGATGTTCACTTCTTGTCTCAATTTACAGCTCATTTCTTGTTGTCCCTTCCTTCTTTCCAGATACAGATTTTGTTTGCAGCACTACACCTTTGGCAGAAAATACCAGCAGGGAAACAGGATATAGAAGTGCTTAGAGACCTGGGAAAACATCTGTAAGAGGATTCAGGGAGAAAAAATAGGAGGATATGGGTACTCAAGCACAGAAATGAGGCAGTCAGGGCTTGCTTGCACGTTTTCCTAAGGAGGGAAGAGAAAAAGTGTCTCCTGTGAGCACTGAAGACAGGAATTTGAAAGGCAATACATCAAAATAATTGTGGGTTAGTGCTACAGAGGTTAAGGGCTTTGTATATACATGTTTCCCAGTCTGCCCAATCCCAGTGGCATTTGCACACCAGCTTGAGCAGAGAGGGAAGATGGGAAGATGATGTTTGTGCAAATTTGGCAGCAAGAGCTGGCTGAGATGAGAAGTGGGGAGGGCTCCAAGTAACCCTCCCTTGTGTGGCTTCACCTCAGAGAAGGAAGGTTGGAAAAGCATCAATCCATGGTCACAGGTCACTGCTGCTGTAGGAATGCAAACTTTACTCATCCTCCTAGAGGAAGGTGTCCCTGCCCATGGCAGGGGGTTGGAATGAGATGAGCTTTGAGGTCCTTTCCAACCCAAACCATTCTGTGATTCTGTGATTCAGGGTGATGATCCCAGACCTGTCACCCAGCTCCTCCTTGGCACATGTGACCTGGGTGACCTGAAGTCAAAGCAGTTGCTGGTTCTGTCTTTGTAGAGGGTCTGAGATTTCCCATTTTCTCCTTTTCCAGCCTGTACCTCCTCACAGGGATAAGGCACAAGGCTTTTCTCCTGCTGCCTTTAGCATCCTGTGCACCTCTCTGTCCTTCTGAGAAGGCAGAGGGCATCATGACCACTGAGATCCATTTGTCATTTCATATGCACTACATGGAGTGAAATGTGACTTTTACTGATAGTAATGTAGGTTTGAGCTGGAAACTGGAGGCTGAAGAGGATCAGCCCCTATTCCCACATTTCCCAGTGTCTTCCCAGGTGGCTTTCTGGACATGCCATTTTTCAGGTTATGGGCTCTGTTTATCCTTCTGTAAGAGTGAGGGTAATTAGAGTGCAGGGATGTCTCTTGGGATGCACCAGTTGTGATAGTGATTAATCACAACTGAAATGAAGGTGGATCTGGGACAGAAAACACCACTGGCAGCACTGAACTACTTGATTTGTTGAAAAACTGCTGAACACCTGTGGTGTGAGGCTGGAGAGATGCAGGGACACCTTCCACTATCCCAGGTTGCTCCAAGCCCAGTCTAACCTGGCCTTGAACACTTCCAAGGATGGGGCAGCCACAACTTCTCTGGGCAACAAGACAACCAGCTTGGCTACCTCTGGACACTGTTCTGACATCAGTCACTACTCCTGGGGGTTACAAGGGCAGCAAAATGAAGAAACTGGCAGCAAGTGAGCTTACAGCATCCTGCAGCATCATGAAACATCCTTTTATGGGTATTTCCGAAATCTGTGTTCAAAGTTTTTGCCTCCCATGTCCTTTTCTGAGGGGTGTCTTGTGCTCACTAACAATTCTTGTAATCACAGCTACTTGCTTTCTCCATATCTCATCATGACTCATTGCTCCAAGGGCTTTTTAATATGGAATTCACTTTGTTTCAGCTAAATGATTTAGCAAGTGGCACTGCCTTTGCCTCCTCTGCTGGAAAGCCTGGGCTTCAACACAACCCTGGAAAGTAAAATTTCCTCTTCCTCAAGGCTTTTGAACTTATATATCTCAACACCAACTCTACAGACATTAATCACAATGTAAGAAATTACAGAGCTATCTCACGTGCCTTGGAATTAGGGAAATGGGGGGGGGAAAGGATGATTTAGGCACTGCAAGTAGACACAGGAGCATGAATTCAACTCTGTAGCAGCCCCACGATATCCTAAAGGAGGTCTTGAAAATTGGGACAGTTGTGAGCCACCCAAAATTCCTCTGGAGAGGAAGTGAGAGAAGAAAGCTTTTCTCTTTGTCCTCTTTTCTGTCCTCACAGTGGGACATAATTTGAATGGATTTGTGCCTGGGACATCCATGGGAAGGAATTTTCTCACCACCCATGTGAAAAGCTTTGCTTCAGCATAAGAACTTAGATAATAGACAGGAAAGTGAATGTTTCCACTAAAGAGGGTCATCTCAAGCAAAAATTTTGGGAACAGTCTTGGTCTGAACAGAATCATGGGAAAGGGCCAAGGGAACAATAGGAAGTGATCTGTTAACTGTGAGCACAAGTTTACAAACAAA